GTGTAAATTTTGTTGCTCTTTCTTTTCTACTAAGGGTTCTAGTATTGCTTCTTAGTATGTTTTGCGATATTTTTCTCGTTTTGCTTCTCAATGATTTTGGTTGAGGGATCTGCATTTTTAATAAGATTGTTTTACTAGAAGTTGTTTTTTTTATTTATAAATAAATGTAAATAATGAAAAATTTTATCAAATTGATATAGTATTACTTTCTTCTTTGACTAATGCTTAATTTATAGGTTTTAAATCTTTGAATAAGTCTCAAAACCATTTTACTCTAATTTGACTTAGTCTTTTATCAAACTTTAAAATAACCAACATGTTTTTGGTTAAAACATAATTTATCTGAAAAAGAATTACTTTAACAAGATAAGTAATTTTGAGTCAGAAGATATTTGTATAATATTTTTTTATTTATTTATCTTCAATCTTAATTGCGCAAAATTTATATGTAAAAAGCAAATAGAATTATTTAATTAATTTAAAAAACTTTGACTTTAATAATATTAGGAACAATCAAAGAATACCATGTTATAAGTATTATATAGATGAAAATAATGCTCATGGCATTGTTTGAGAATAGAACCTTTTTAAAAATATATTCTCAAAATAGCATCAATGAGCATCCCGATATAAATTAAGCTCTTTTTTTTAAATGTATTTTGATATATATATTTTTTTAATTTATTATTAACTTCTCAAAACTGATATTCTAAAAATTATATCCTAAAAGATCTTAATTCAAAATAATATAATCCATTTAATTTTATTTTAGTTTGTGAATATTAAGGTTTTATTAGGTATTTAAAAGTTATAAATATTTAATTTCATTTTATTTACATTATTATTATTTATATTGATATTAAGAAATTTACAAATATTTACTGTCACAATTAAAGTTAAGGTCAACTAATACTAAGAATTAACTTTCATTTTGATATCGATATCAAATTTAACTTTTTTTTTGAGATGTGTTTTTTATTTTTCTATGATTAGGTTATGATTTATGATTAGAATTGTTAATAAAGAAATATATATAGATTTTAGTAGATTTAGTAGACCCAGATTGAAACTCCAAGTCTTAGCATCAGCTATAATGATAAATATATAATAATAGAAGAATTCTGAATTTGGAAAATGTATACATTATAATGATGATGACTTGGTAGTATCTATACTTCGTTAACTATTAAAAGATCAAGAGAGGCAAGTATCTTAGTTTGAATTAGAATTTTTTTTGTAAAAAAAGCATACATTTATTTTCTTTACTAATTACACTATTTTCTATAAACCTTATTACAACATTTCTCATGCATTGCTTATTAATTTGCTATTACTTATTTGATTAATTTGTGTGTAGAGATAGGTTTCATGCATGTATATAATTGTGGAAACATGCACATTAATGTGCATTTATGTGCATTAATGTGCATTTATATGCATAATTCTGTTTCATGCATATCTTATCCCATCAAGATTTCTCTTCTTTTGATTATTTTTTTTTTTTTTTGCCTTTTTTTATAATGCGCATTAATGCACATTCATGTGCATATTATTTTAAAATGCACATTTTTCCTATCACTATTTGTGCATCACTTATTCATTTCCATATGCCTTGATCTTGTGATCCAACCCTATATCAATGATAATATAATTTATTTTAATATCCAAAAATGTCAAAATATGCTAATACATTTTATTTATTTATTCTTTATTTAATTAATGTTTACTGGCTCTATATTTCGAATAAGTGCATTATATATTTTGTGATTCTATCACAGTAGCTAATATGCTATTCTGATGTAACAATCTAAAGATGGATTAGAAAAACAAGAAAATAGATAATTGTATAAAACAAAAAGGTTTCAGCTTAGAGTTTGAGTATAAGGCAATAATTAAATAGACTGACTAAAATAAGATTGAATTATTGAAAATATAAATTTAGCTTGGGTTTTGGTAATAAAATATTTATTCATTAAAACAAATATATATCTTTTTATAACAAAATAAGAGTAACTATTTTTGAATCTAGACTAAAATATTATTATGTTATAAATATACAATTGGTGATTCAAAAATAATTACCCACATTTTTAGAATTAAATGTTCTATTAGCTGACAATAAATAAATATTTTATGCAAGCTAATTGTTCTATAAATAACAAGACAATAATAACGATAATAGTTTTAAATCTTATTCAGATAACTAATATCATATAGGTTAATTGGTTTTATTGAATCATGAATGGAGTTACTAAATTTAGTCTAAGTCCTTTGTTTAAATTGTTGTTATTGGTCTAATGATTGATTGGCATTAGCATTAAAGTATTATAATTGTAATTGTTTAATTTATTAAAGGTTTATCCTGTACTATTTTGTAAGAAGGATTTAATGAATATGTGTTAAACTCATTAGACGCTTTTAAAACCCATTATATAATTGTCTAATTTATTAAACTGAACCTTATTTGATGTTATTGTTGTTAAATCTTTTATCTCATTATTGTGATATAAATATCTCAGTATTAATACTAGCTTTTTTTTGTTTAATCAATCGTCTTCTACTAAGCCATACATTTCAAATTCTTTTTGAATCTCATTCTTCTGATTTAGTATCAGATAAAGTATGAATTTCTATTAATACTGTTTCAGTTTTTTCTTGTAATAATGTATCAAATTTGGCTAATCTTTCAAAAATTTTATTTTCGGATTTTGTTAAATTTTACCGTTTTCTTTTTTTTGAAATAAAATCTTTATTATCCACTTCAATAATATTATCTTCTGATGTATTAGTGCATAAATCATATTCAGGATGTTTTTTTTGAAGCAAATGCATTAGTTTTTCTGTATCTTTACGGGTTTTTTCAGCTTTTGTTTTCTGATAGATCATATTGGTTTTAATATTTTTTTGTCTTTATCCTTTAGTATTATAAGGAATATCTTTGGTAATTTCTTGTGAATGAATCTCTTTTAATCTTTTAATGCATATATCATAACAAGTAAATAAATTATTAAAACCTTCTTCTGTATATTCTGATGTATTTTTAAAAAGTTCATATGTATTTGAGTCTTGAGTAAACACCTGAACTAATTTGCATTTTAAACTGTCTATTATATTATATCTAGATATTAGTTTACGATCTTTAGGAATAATAGTATCATCCCTAACATAGTAATGCAAAATTAAATCTAAGCATTCTCTTTCATCTTGTATCGAATGTATTTGTAATTTTATTTGATCCTCATTACCTAAGTAAAACCCAATATTATCCTTAACATATTTAACATCAAAACATTCAAGAGCCTCATCAAGAGCAAAAAAATGACCTTTTCTTGTTAAATTTACTGATAGAACATATTGTAATAAGAGCTGTAATTTCGGATCCTCAAATAAATAGTATAAAAAATAAACAACAGATTATGAATAATTACTTTTGCTTATTATAGCAAAGAGTGGAGCGAATGCAGCTAAGTTTTGAAACTGCATTTGATAATTTCTATGTCGAATACCAATCTTATGACCTATCTAATAACTACCCTACTCAAAGAAAAGAAGCCAAGTTTTCATTATACTATTATTACTATTTTTAATTGCTGCAAAGTTACTATTAGTAGCTTGAGCAATTTCACCTAACACAAGGCCAACAGAAATCTATATAAGCTCTAATATATAGCAAGTTGCTAAATAGTTAACAACTTTCTCTAGTTTATTAAGAAATTGTACTCCAAGATGTGATGCCAAATCAAATATTCCATAACTCAAAAAAATTGTAATTAAGGTTAAACACATTTTTTTATTAGTATGCCAAGCAACCAAGAGAATTTCGATGTTTGGTTGAATTTTACAATAGGAAATTAAACATTGAAAAATAGCTTCATCTGCAACCACATCTATTTTATCTCATTTACTAGCTTTTTTTTCTACATCATCAAAAAACATGCTACATGTTTTGTAAACTGCTTCATCCGAACATGAGTTACTATCTGGTTTTAAAATAACAATATTTGGTTCTGGTACCTGCATTCAGATTCTGTATTAACTTTGGTTATCATTATTAGTTCCTTATAAACTCTATCTACATCAACCTCAGTTTTGTCAAGCATTAATAATTTGTAAAAAATTTGTTTAAAATTTGAAATTTTTTTTACTGAAAAATCAGATTTACCAATTTTTAATATTTGTTTTTATTGTGTAGTTTTAGAAAAAATTTCTTTAAGAGAAACTGGTAATATAAATTGGAATACCATATGCAAACATGCATGTTCTGTCATATGTGTAATATTATATATATTTCCAAATGCAAAAGACCATTGTTTAAAGTTAATATTATCTAATACACATATACTCCAAATATTGTCTTCTTCAAGTAATCATGTTTCTGGCTTTGAATGAATTTGTCGATTTTTTTTAAGCCACCTTTCATAGTGTTATGAATGTAATACAACATTTGCTATATATAAAATTAAGTATAATGATGGTAAAAGATTTGGCTTTTTGCAAAGTGAAGCAACGTATGTGTAAGCCATATATTAATACTTGGAAACACAACTGTAAGAATAACAGATATCATAAAAATAGAAATTTTATAAGACCATTCAGAATCAAATTTAGCAGGTTCTATGTTGATATGGCTTTGTTTTTGTTTTTTTATACAAATTTGGTATTTTTTTTTTGTATAAATATTATAAGGCTCTCAAAAAAATTTTTAAAAAATTGTGAAAAACCACTACAGTAATATTTAAGTGATTTTGGTGATTCGAGTGCTTCTTTATTTTGCATTATGTTTGAACGTTCATTCCATATAGCTTTACCAAAAATTTCTCCAAGTTTTTTGCCTTGATCATTATATATTAAATGATTCGTTAATTGATATCCTTTTTTTAATTTGTTTAATTTTATTTTTCCAAGTTACATAGCTGTTTTTATAGCCATTAAACTTGGCACTGATTCATCAGTATCAGTATTATTTTAATTATAATTTCTAGTTATTTAAAAAATTTCATTAAATGGCAATGCAATTTTTGCTAAAATTTTTTTTTTTAGTTTTTCATTTTGAGATGTAGCAATATCAATAAGCCATCTTCTGAGTAAAAAAAGTGCCTCTTTATTATTATCAGTATGTTGATTATGACAAAAATAACTTTTAGAACCACTTTTTTTTCTCTTAAATAAGTGTCCACCCTCTTCTTGAAAACATTTTGAACAGATGAATCTTACTGAATCTTCTGTTGTTGCAAGTTTAACAAATTGTTCTTTTTGGTCAAAAATGCTAGGCATTCCTTATGTCCAATACAAAGAGCTTGTATGTTATGTCCATTTATGCAGATACAATGCTCTTTACAATTCATCTCATGACTAAAAAAATATTGATCTTTATTACAGAACAAACATCTTCTTAGATGAATGTAGCTCAGATCTATTGATCATTCATATTTTGCTTCTTCACTATATAATTGATTTTGATCAAATGAAAATGTGATGAATATATATCTAAAATATGTATCATATTATAAGAATTGTTTTTATCAATAACCGATTCATCAATTTTCCAAGTTCCAACAAGCTGGCAAAGAGGTCTTAATAAATGTCCAGAACTTTCATAATTAGGACAGCATTTTATTTCTCCATTATAAATGTCAAGAACAACACATTGAGCTAACTTTTTGCATGAAATATCTTGTATAATATAGTTTTGTTCTTTTATACTACTACTCTCTATTAAATCTATAAATAAGATTCAGTATCAACATTGCTAGTAACAATTTCATCATAATTGGCATTGCTAGTAGAAATTTCATAAGCATCAATATCAATATTATTATTTTTTTCAAAACTATATGCAGCTTCTTGAGCTTTTTGAAATACACTATAATTAGAATTAAAAGAAAATTCACAAATAGCATTATTATCATCTGAAGTAATTGATGATTCTTTAATACTATCAGTCGCCAAACTAAAATTACTATCTAAACAAATATATGTTTCATCAGGATCTTGCCATTCAACATCACTAGTGTTAGCATTCCAACAGGCAATATTTGCAAAAGAGTTGTAATTGTTGCTAGTTGAATACATAATTTTTGTAAAATTTTGGAACAAATAATCAATAATTCGAATTTTGAGGTAAACCAAAAAAAAATTCAATAATTTATATCACTATAAAAAAATAATAATTGTGTTTTGTTATAAAAAAACTAATTACTAGATTTAAAATTATTACAATGATAATAATCGTACAGTACATAATGTTTTAACATTAAGGGCTTTTGGTCATCATAAAATACAGATGAAATTGTCGATAATTGAGTACACAAAATTTTTGCTTATCATCTTTAAATCTGAAACTCTTCAATACCCTGGTTTACCAGTGTTAACTGATTGCCTTTAACTTGTATTTTGAACAAAGATCATTTTAAGGTTTTTGCTTTTGCAAACCTTATATTAAAACTATAATAAAAATATATCTATATATTTTTTTTTATTAGTTGACCATTATAGTTATCATTACAAAAATATTATGAACAAAAAGGTAAACCGATGCAAACTATATAAAATTATATATAAAATTTCTTTATGCAGGTTAACGATCATATAGTTAAAAAATTATATACATTGCCAGAGGGACATTTCCAGTATACGGTATTTGAACAGTCTAACATTCTTAATTTCAAAATTCATTTTAAGTACAGAAGTTTTATTTATCAAATAAAATTTCAAAGTTTTATATAGCAAAATGAGCTTAGACTATACAACCTTTTTCTGATGATTCTCAGGTCAAAAATCCAAATTACAGATAAACATTACAGCAAGACTCAAATGAATAATACTTCTGGTTCTTTGTGAAGTAAATTGTTTATTAATGAAGTCAACAAATATGAATCAGACTATATTTCTAATAGTTTGTATTATAGTTAAACTTTTCTTTTAGATGAGTTCCTTTCTATGTTAAAAGTCATTAAATATTGAATTAATTTTTTATAGTATTTTAAAATAGAGAGTTGCTAACTTTCACCTAAGGTGATATCACTTTTTTATATGTAAAGCCAATCAGATCACAGGATCTTGTATAACAAAAATAAAAAAATTTTTATGAAAAAAATTAAAAAATCACAAATATTTTAAAAATTTATTATAAAATCTAATTTTTTTTTTTTATAGTTAAAGTCTCTATTTTGGGAATGCAATGTTTTTATTCAAGTATATTAGGACACAGCATGTCACCAGGGGCTCACCTTATATTGGAGGTTACAACTAGCCACATGGTGCCTAATTTAAGTAGTCTGCTTACACATTGCTATATAAGTTTTACACTAGTTGCTATATTTGCAAGCTAACTAGAGATTTTGCTTATTTAAATCTTTTGCATATACAGTTCTTCTTGTATTATAAGAACATCTCAAAGCTACACTGATCCAAGTTTCTAATACTTGTTGTTACCTTTAGGACTAGTTTATTCTTGACAGGAAACTTATTAGAGTTTTTATGTTTCAAATATATAAACCTAGTTTTATGCAACATGTTATAGTTATATAACACTTGCAGTCACAGAAGTTAACTGTTTAACTACTATATTACACTATTTTTACTTTTGTAAAGTTCACTAGAATTCTAATATTTATTTTTCTGGCATTTTCTCTATTATCTTTTTTTAGCTACAACTTAAAACTGTCAGTCTTATTCCAGACTACCAATTCAGATGGCCTGGTATGATATACTCTGTATTTTTTTTATTTAATGAATCTGATAACCTGGTTGGTTAGGTGTTCTTCTACATATATTTGATGTTTAGTTTTAACCTTCGGTTACTATAAAGGTATTTTGTAAGTTTCAACTAGTCTGATAATACTATTGAAAGTTTATATTACCTCTTTATTTGGAATTTTCAAGTGAGTTTCTATTATCTTAGTTCTTTAGTCTTTTATACTTAAAGGTCTTATTATGGGTTTGCACTGAAGTCTTATATAATACCAGTTATATATTATTCTATGTATATGTAATATTACATTTCGCATAGATGCCTAAGCTCCCAATGTTAGTAGGATCTGACTTGATGTACTTGGGTAACAGTTATATAAGGCCAACTGATTGATAGAAGACAGTTACTGTAATGCAGATATAATTTCCAAATTTTATCATAGGTGGGATTTGAATCTTAGACCTGCTACTTAAAGGATAACAATCTAACCATTACACTAGAATTGTCATTCTTATATAAAAACTAATTTTAAGTTATTAAATAAAAGTTTTTAGTTGGTTAGGTTGTCATCCTCTAAGTGGCAGGTCTAAAGTTCAAATCCCACCTATGACGAAATTTGGAAATTATATCTGTATTATGGTAACTGTCTTCTGTCGGTCAGTTGGCCTCATGTGGCTGTTACCAGGTACACCAGGCCAGGTCCTCCCAGCTTTAGGAACTCAAAGCATCTATGTGAAGTGTAACGTTACATATATATGAAGGAATGTTAACTGGTATTGCATAAGACTTCAATACAAACTCACGATAAGACCACCAGGCGTAGAAGACTAAGGAACCAAGGTAACAGAAATCCACTTGGAAATTCCTGAGTAAAGAGGTAGCATGAACTTTCAGCAGTACAATCAGACCAGTTGAAGCCCATAAAACACCTTCATAGGAACTGAAGATTAAAACCAGACAACAAATATATGTAGAGGAGCATATAACCAACCAGGTTGCCGGGTTCATCAGAGAAAAAGGATACAGAAGTATATCATACTGAGCCATCTGAATTGGTAGTCTGGATAAATGAGACCGATGGTTCTGAGTTGTGGCTAATAGGGGATGATAGAGAAGATGCTGGAAAGATAGGTACTGGGGTTCTAGTGAACTT